AGTTCGTTGCAAAACTATCGGGCTGGTCAATTAATAGAAGCAATCAAGCAACGGTAGCAAGGATTGAAATTTGGAATTTGTAAAATAGAAATTTTTCGATTGGTAGATGGGGTGGATTGAGGCTCCAGTAGTCGCACTCAGTTTTTTAGCCTTGTTATCATTCCGATTCGTAGGTTTTCCACACTAACAAGTTATTTCTATATTCTTTACAATAAGAACTTCAATAAAGACCAAAGCATTTTACCCTTTTAAATCATAAACTATATTTGTCGAGCCAACCCTAAGCACACAACGGATCGTGTCGTCTTAAGTCATGCACAGATTAAAATTCAATTTCTACACAGCCGCACATCATACTACCAAACTGTTTAATGTTTTATTCAATTTTAAACTTTATGATAAAACAACAGAGTTTTTAAGGGTATTGACTAAATATTTACACACTTATCATTCAGAATCTGTGCATAAGGAAAAATCGTTGTCCAAATAATAACTAATGCAAAGTTTTGAATTAAAGTGTTGGTACAGATACCTATTTAGCCAATAGGCAACAGCTTCATTGAAAACCATGGAGTTTCTTGCTCGTTCTTCTCCATCGGAATCTACACTTTGGAACTAGCAAATAGCTTCAATACGAGGACTGACCGACAGACTGACGTTGTTTATCTTTAAGTTTTATTTGACGTTCAAAAGTGCCTATAAGGGTCTAATTGAAATAAATGATTTTGATTTTGACTTTGAACCATATTACTAAATGTAACGATAGCTACTAATCAATTTATCTATGTGTATCTATTATTGAGCATTTTTTTTATATTATTGTTCATTTGGTTATTATATTATAGGGTCACTGTCAGGTTTTTTTTACATACAGTAGAAAATTATAAAATACTTCATTAATTTTTCTTAAAAATATAATTATTGGGTATCTTATAAATTCATTTTTTTAATTGTTATATTTTAATTGTTTATTTAATTAAATTAATTTGTTTAGCACGTACCTTCAATAAAAAAAGTCACGTTCACACAAAAAAAACACAAGCACTTCACTTTGTAAAAATAAAATAAATACAAATAAATAATTACAGCTATTTGCGTTGCGCGTGCGCCGGTGGCCACAAGATCAATGTCAACAGAACGCTCCTGATTCGCTATTTAAATGATCTAGAATTAAACTTACACACCAGTTTGTAAGTTGACCATAGAGCTATGATTTCAAACTTTTTCTTTTCGATATTGAGTAATAAAGGAAAATTATGTTTTCCCTTCGAATTAATAGTAAAAGTATGTTTATGGTGAAGAAGAAATTTTTATCAATGGGTAATCGTACTTCGTGGTTTTTCGTTTGTGAATTGAGTTTCAATAGGATTTGCGTGATTGAAGAATTGGGACAATATTTTACTTTAACTGCTAAAATACTGCTCCGTTTTTTCTATTATCTGCACAATTGATTAATTTAAAAAGTTTAGTTGGTAACATTTTCTTTAAAAGCCGGCAACGAACTCGTTTCTCCTCTTTTGTCAGTGCTGATTACTTACCATCAGATCTAATGTATACTTAATTACACAATAAACCAATTAGTTAATGCATGACCCTAAGAACGCACACGCCCCATCAGGTTTTGCATATTGGTGGCTTTAGAGCTGGTGTTTCAACGAACGGAAGCCCCCATAGATGCTGATGATATCCTTTTTGGTAGAATTAGTATGGTAAAAAGTTATTATATATATTCTTGAGCCTTTTTAAAATTCTTTGAAGGTCTGTATAGCAAAATTAAATTTATACTTCTGTACACATAGTAGAAAGAGGTAAAATTTTTAAGTTTGTATGTAGGGGGTAATCTTTGGAACCACCGGTCGGATTTCCAAAATTCTTTCATTGATAGATAGCTACAATGTTCCTGAGTGCTATAGGCTATTATAAAACATCACGTTACGATTAAATGGAGCCGTGCAGCGGGTGAAACCGCGCGAGAGTACCTAGTATTTCACAAACATAATGGCATTAACTTTTTTTCTTGACAGAAAAAATGTTATGTACAAAGCAAATGATTAAAAAAATCTTCTTACTTCATATACGAAGAAAAGTATCAATTTAATGCAGGATAGTAAAATCAACCTAAATGCCTTAGCATACCTGTTAAGTTAATTCCATTTTGCTTGAACGAAAACCGAATTGGGTCGACGACCTCCACCGCTAGGCCAAGTAATTCGATTTGACGATCCGTCCCTATTTCTTGGACCAAACGATAAATTTCCGAAATGGCACAAATAATTCCTTTGTGTCAGAACAGGATGTTACGTTATATATTTTATTATTAGATAGTATTGAAGATAAAAATGGAGTCAATGGAAGGAAACGTGTGTGTCTGTTCTTGATGTTCTGTCATCACATCATCAGCTTTTAAGGGCCCACGGCTGAGCAAAGACCTCTTCTCACACGGATTTCTCTTTTTTTAATCTTAATTTTAAGGGACTTTTTAACACTGTTCATGTCAGTCTTATACGGATAAGGTTTGAGCTTTAATCATCAAGCTGGCTTATGGCAGATTGGTGAATTCAAACGTTTAATTAGATATTATAAGTCCAGGTTTCTTCACGATGGTTTCAATCACCTTCTTCTTCCTGTGGTGTCTTCATGAACTTAGAAAGTATAGGTATATATGTAATATGAAAAAAATACTATGTAACTTTCTATGTTTCGAATGCGCATCCTTAGGCATGAGAAGTTAGCCATAGCCTTTGAGACAACACGAAAAAATATTTGACATTTAGCTTAAATACGTACATAGCAATTTTTATCGCAAAAACACAAGCAAAACCGTATCCAAACTCTAGTATAAATAATATCAACTTTTACTTACAAACCCGCAACACAATCCTCTAGATTTCCCCTGCATTGGGTTACACTTGCATTTTTCTTCATTACACGCATTCAGAGGTCAATGGACTGAGGTCATTGTCTTTCCTGGTTAGGTCGGGGTCGCTCAGAGAGTTTCATTAAGCATTTGGGCTTCAGGACATTATCCTTAAAAGCCTTGAAGGTAAAAGTAGGTCGTAACGTTTTTTCTTGTAGTTTTTATAACGTAATAATGAAGTCTTGTTTTAAAAGATAGCGAGGGATTTTTTTGTGTGAGGCGCTGACTGAGTCTCATACATCTTGTAGTTTTGGTTGAAATATGTAAATTGGTAGTCCGGTGTGAAGTTATAAGGCAGCATCACAGAATACCGTGTCTCTGACTTCATATGCAGCGCTGATTGCTTACCATCAGGTAATAAGTCTGCTCGTTTGAACATGAAAAAAACTTTCAAACATATTTATGGAAGTCTATAAGAATGTACAATGTGTAATTAAGTGATTATTCCTAATCATCACCCAAAGATTCCGATGACAGAGAAAACTAAATAGAAATATGACTGCACGGTTGACGCAGTGGTGGTGGCACGGTGGACGTGTCACGGGTTCGATCCCTACAAGGAACAATACTTTGTGTGATCTAAAAATTTTTGTATCGAGTTTGGACGGCTTGTGTATGAGAATTGGCATGTTTGTAAACGCACCCATGATACATGAGATAATTCTAGTGAAGGGGAACGATTTATGAAAAAAAATATGAGATATACTAAATTTTGTACAAAACTTAAAATACGTATTTCATTAAATATTTTCCTGAATTTAACAATACATGGTTAAATCATTATATCAAATATTCCAATCACATAGCGATTTGATATTTTGCATTGGCATTTTTTAATGAAACTAAAACAATTCTTATAAGGTAACATAAGCAAATATTAAGAAAAATAAGTCTACATATTTATAGATAAATTTCTACCTTATTCGAATGTAAATAAAAACAGGTAAATGTTTTTCCTGTAACTCCACCGTCGTTGCGGTGTCCATGGGCGACGCTGATTGCTTACCATCAGGTAATCCGTTTGCTCGTTTGCCGACCTATCTCAAAAAAAACCCACGCTTGACCACGGTGGATAAGGGATTCAAAAATAATAAATACACATTGAATATTTTATTTTATGAGCAGACGGTTCATTCCAGTCGGGCCGGCACACTTGTGCCGAAGCATGGCTCTCCCACACGAGAGTGGGATTCATTGATAGTGTACGTATAAAATACTTCTCTAATTCAGTAGCACAACACTAAATAAATCACTCACAGCCCCATCACCATTAACTCACATCTGCCCTCGTTTTTCACGCTCCTTGAAAAACCTTGGATTTATAGGCAAACCCACAAGCACAGTGGTAAACAAAATCTAAATGTAATTTACATATCCGAACCGAACCGTCTGTAAATTATACATTCAGTAATGTATCAGAGAAAATGTGTAACTGAAACAGAAAATTTTCAGAGTACCGGTAAACAGAACGTTTATTTTTATTAGTGATGTGACGACATGCGGATATTTTTAGTATCGGATATTTTATTTTTGTAAATTAAATTATTCGATATTATAGTGAAATATAAAATATCAAAGATAACGAAAATATAATTGCACACTGCTTTTTGCAGTTGTGAATGTTCTTTATTGTGTTTTTGATGTAATCTGAGTTTTCTCTACAATATTTTTTATCATTCACACATGAATCAAAAGTTTCGAGAAACTGTCTGCCTGAAAACTGCTTTCAGACAATGAGAAAATGGGCAGCAGTATACTATAATTCCCAAAGTCACCTATCAAGCTCCGGGATAGTGACAACACCTCTCCAAGTGAACGTCTTCCGGCTGATGATGATGATGATGTTTCCAGAGGTGATGAAGCATCTAAATTAACCATAAATAATGCTTATCGAATAACTTGGAAGCGAACAAACTAATACAGAACTCAGTACTCGGCTGTTGCACTTCGTATCACTAATCAAGCAACTTGTGATGTCTTATTGTCATAAAATAAAAATAGGTTTTTTTTTGTGCGGGGAAAATCATAAAATAACTTCTCCCACCCAGGGCCGGGCGGGAGGGAGTGTCACACTCTTACTTACTAAAACCCCCCTGTTCCTTCTCCTGCTCTGGGCCGAGGTTGCGGTGCCTCATTGCGCTGACCCCGCAACCCCGGCTGGAAAATAAAAATACGTTAGAAACATATTTGTAACATATTTTTAAGCAGATTATAAAGGCAATTTTGTGATTCAGAGTTTACAGGTTCTTAGAAGTTATACATATATTATGTTTTGTGTGTTTATGGACTTAATGCCGTATATGGTATTCTCAACCAGTCAATGCAAACTGTACACCCAATTTTCCAGGATTTTATTCGAAATTCAGAACCTATTTAAACACAAAAAGTTCATTCAACTTGTAAAAGCAAATACCAACAAACTAGAGTTCTAAGAAAAACGACGTCGAATATTCCAATATTCAAAAATTTGCAAATACCGTCTCACAATATACGAGTTTCGGATATTAAACTTTCCGTGCAATATTTCGGATATTTTATTGCATAGTATTCGGATATTGAATGGAACATCACTAGTAATCGCATTACCGAGTATAACAAGAATATTATATGAAAAAACTGTGTTCTCCAATCTGCTTCACCTGTATTATTCAAGTAAAAACTAGTTTCTGTTATATTGTAAATTTATAGTTCAGTAAAAATATAGAACAATAGTGTTTATAGGTATAAAAATAAATGTTGAACGGAGCTGAGTTTTGATAAAAACATAATTGTAAGTGGAGAGCCATACGTCGGCACGTATGGGTCGGCTCCGGTCGGGAAAACCGGCGTTAAACAACACCAGCATTTTGTTTCGCTGTATGAGTAAGTTAACTGGAGGCCCAATCCTTCCCCTTTCCTATCCCTTCCCAATCCCTAAATCCCCAAAACGTCAACAACGCACTCGTAAAACTCCTGCGTTGTTGGGGGCGGCTCTGATACGGCTACCATCAAGTTACCCGTCTGCTCATGTTCCAGTAGGCATATCACCATAATAAAGAAGTATCTAAAAAAAACCATTTTTTTAATGAATAAGTCCGCAAACGAGCAGACGGATTACCTGATGGTAAGCAATCGGCGCCGCCCATGGACATCTGCAACATCAAAGAAGTTACGTGCGTTAAGTGCGTTGCCGGCCTTTTGGGGATAAGGGTTGCGGATATAAGGATAGGGAAGGGATAGGTAAGGGGGAGGGATTGGGCCTCCGGTAACCTCACTCACACGGCGAAACATAACGCTGTGGTTATTTCACGCCGGTTTTCTGTGAGGCCGTATGGTATCACTCCGGTCGAGCCGACCCATTCGTGCCGAAGCTTGGCTCTAAATCAAATTTAATAAATAATTATTATTAATGGTTAATTTTTGATTTTATTAATAAAAATAGTTAATTTTATGATGTGACATGAAACAACATAACTATCACAGAAACATATAATAATAATTATAAATAGAAACGACAGTTGGCAATAGAAACAAATGGCATGATTAATAGAAAATAGAACTAACTCATAAAAAGAGGGTACATCAAAATTGTACCTTATTATTGAAACATAATTGTTAAGATTCAAATACCTTATTTTTGAGTTATGCCTCTTTACTATTAAGCATACCAAATGTACATAATTGTGTGAGCAGTTGCTTTGTTAATTTCATTAATTTCATGTTACGATTGCGAACTAATTGCTGTATTGTCCGTCTTTTTAAACATTATATTAAAACGGTTATCTTTTATTTCACTTTGTGATGGTTATGGAAGATGGATGCAAGAATGTTTTCGGTGAAAGATTGTAATTAAAATTGTTGATTTAATTCAAAAGAGACATCATGACATGATTGTTTTAGAAGCGTTTGTGTTGTGTAGAAATTCTGTTTAGGGAAAGTTATCAAGGTTCTTCTTTCACGGGACCACAGGGTCCCGGACCTTTGGAAGGCGAGGTGCCGAAACCAACTTGCAAAAGCCAGTTTAACAGTTTTAATCTAAATGTGATGGGACATCAGCCGGCAATTGCGGCCGGCGACTGCACGGTTGGCGCGGTGGCTGGGCAACTGGCTGCCGCGCAACGTGTCGTGGGTTCGATTTCCGCACGGAACAACTCTTTGTGTGATCCACAGATTGTTGTTCCGGGTCTGGGTGTGATGTGCATGTGAAATTGTATGTTTGTAAACGCACCCACGATACAGGTGAAAATCCTAGTGTGGGGCAACGTTTTTTTTTTTTAAAAAAATATCCCTATATGTACTATAAAAATGCACCCAAGGACAATCCCCGGCTAATGCAGGACTATTGTGAAATGTGGTAAAAATTGATAGGATTATTGGTATGGGTTGCTATGCACTAGTGGATGAAAACTATGGAAATACTATCAAGGTTATTTTTATCGAACAAAAGTCGAGGGAGACTTTTGTTCAGCAGCATGACTTCGATATCAGATAGTTGGAAGCAACCTGCATCCTAACTTCCTTTGACCTTTATAAAGTCATTTGTTCTAACATGAGTTGTTGACCTGTTTCTTCATAATCTAAAAGAGAAGACATTGAAATAAACTTCCACAAAAAAGTATTTTATTTTTGGTGTTTTTCTCAATAATTACGATATGGTTAATAATGATGTAGAATTTTAATATTTTTTATTAATTTATTTGATTTTTCGACATTTATTTATCAATATTGTTTCAGTAATTATTTTTCATTAGGTGGACCGGCGACATTGTCAGAGCCAATGGATGCAGGTGGCAACTTCTCGTTCAACGTGGAGGGCTAAGGGGCAGACTTTTGTCCAGCAGTGGACGTCTTCCGGCTGCTGATGATGATGATGAATTATTTTTTACTTAAATATACTAAATTATTTACTTATTGTACTTTTTATGACTTGAAGTGTCTAAGAGTCTAGTATAATGTATCTCGACCAATTCAAAACTCTGGTTTTCATCGTCCTCGTCGTCTCATGATTACTTGACTCAGTGTTCAGAAATTATAATTATTTTAATAAATCATTTATTTCAACTAAACCCGAAATGGGTTCTTTGGAAAGAATAAAATAGAACAATGCGTAAGCCTGTTCATCAGTGAAGCTAGGTGCTAGTTCCAGAGTGAAGATTCAATGGGGAAGAACGTTCAAGGACATTGCTTGATAATAACTTAAGCTGTTTTTTATTTTTGTTAACTCACATACATTTTAAAACAGCCACTACTTGTAATACTGCATCTCCACGTCTTAAAATATGTCAAACAAAATTAAACCTAAACAAGCACAAATTGAAGTTCCATTTCTCAAGGGCAAAGGGCACAGCCACCGCGTTTGTTAGCATGCAAAACGCGATTAGAACATTAACTGTTCCCCATTTATAAAAGACGGTTAAATAGAAAAACTGCGTGAAAAACAACCGACATTCAATGTGACCTTGTTTTTAAGGAAGTCATTTATCATTATGATCTAATTTAGTTTTACTTTCTCGTTCGTTTTAAGTCTTTGAGGTGGGAAAATTATCAATTGACTTCTCTTACCCTAGGCAAGAGGGAGTGTCAGACTCTTACTGACTGAAAATCACCCTGTTCCTTCTCCTGCTCTAGGCCGGGGCTGAGTACATTTTTTACCGGCTTCGTTAAGGTAGCATTTTTGAATATTAAATCAATAATCTAATAATTAGTATTTATATGCAGTTGCCACGTTGTTCTGTTATGTATCTATCTATCAGATTTTTTCGTTTTAAATACTTTAATATTAAAGTTTAAGAAACCTAATCTTAAAAGTTTTATTAGAAGAAAACTTTTTAAAAGAAAAAAATTCCCTATGCTTGGATTTCATCTGTATCGTGGGTGCGTTTACAGACACCTAGACCAGAAACAAAAATATTTGGAACACGCAAAGAGTTGTTTTGTACGGGAATCAAACCCGCGACACGTTGCATTCGTCCGTTTGTCCAGGCCTGCCAACCGTGCAGTCAACCTACACTTATATGTAATATCAAATTGAACGAGCGTAAAGATTAGTAATCATTTTTTCCCCGGTCTCTCACAGAAGACACCTTTTCTGAGCAGTGGATTATCTACAGGCTGATAATGATGATGATAAAGTGAGATTCAAACTTTGTTTTTAAAATTTTCCGAAATTATTACTAGGTATTAACCAAGACCAGGTTACATCAGTCGATTTTGGCACACATGAGCTAAACACGTCAGACAATACACAACACACCATAACACTTGGAATTCCCCTTTCACCGTTAAACTCATAAACATTGTAAATCACAAATTCCGTTTTTTCACATAAATTTATATCTTCCATTAACTCGTTTCTGGTACAAATAATCATATTTTCTCGGTAAAAATGTTCCTATTACCGTGGATAAGTGAAATAAAGCATTTCTTTATAACATTTTTCTTTTTGTAAAAGGTCGGCAAACGGGCAGACGGATTACCTGATGGTAAGCAATCAGCGCCGCCCATGCACACCCGCAGCGGAGGAGTTACGAGTGCGTTGCTGAGGTTGCTAAGGGTTTTGGAGGTTTAGGGACCGGTGGAAGGGAAGGATTGGGCCTCCAGTAACCTCACTCACCGGCGAAACACAACGCTGTGGTTTTATCACGCCGGTTTTCTGTGAGGCCGTGGTATCCCTCCGGTCGGGCCGACCCATGCGTGCCGAAGCATGGTTCTCCCAGACTTCAGCATTACAATTGTCAGGATTTGTTTGTATAATAGGATGGGTTTTGAATTTTCCTTCAAATTATGGTTATAGCGTTGTTACATGGTACAAAAGGAATGATTTTTTTCTTTATTTTGGATTTTATAATAAAATAAAAATATCGAGGAAAGTTGTTCTTATTTCTAATATTTAATGAGGTTAGTATAAAAAAGCAACGGATTTCCTTTTTTGTCAAGGAAAGGATAAATTATTTTGTAATGAACCTCCTTATTGTTGTCCTCCTTATGTTTTTATAACAATTGGAAGTTATTATACACATAACCTTCTTTTTCAATCACTCTTTGTATTAAAATAAACTGCATCAAAATTAGTTGCGAAGTTTTATAGATTTAAGCGTACATAGAGATATAGGGACAGAGAAAGTGACTTTGTTTGAGACATTTTTTTTAACCATTGCCCTACGTTATGATTTTCTCCTGTGTCGTGGGTGCGGTTACAAACAAACAATTTCACATACACATGACACCCAGACCTGGAAAAACAATTTGTGAATCACACAGAGTTGTTCCGTGTGGGAATCGAACCCGCGATACGTTGCACGGCAGCCAGTTGCCCAGCCACCGTGCAGTCAACTATCTAGTGTTGATTGTATCATTTTAATATTTCTTCTTGTCTAAGAACAGTGCTTTGTTACTGTAATCTAAGTATTTATTAAAGTAATTGATTTGTCTTTTTTTTAAAGACATTAACTACATACAATGCGAAAAAGCAGAATCAGAGCACAAACCAATCCATTCATAATATTTAGCTTAAAAATTTCTCCCATTCAGCTTTCTATCATTTCCATCCAAGACTTGGATTCTATAAAATGGCCGTGGACCACGTATTTGCTAGAGATACGTAAACACTGCAATTTCTTCATAATAACTTATCTACGTGAGTAATTGAAATGCTTAGAAAACTATAGGTTTCATTTTCTATGAATGGTTGAGTCGTTTATTTCGTTTAAAAGTGGTACAGATTTTTGTATTGCTTCTTCTTCTTCTTTGATTTGATGTTATTTATTTTAGAAACATTAGCGCTTAGTAGTTGTGGCCTGGAGATTAAGTTGCCCGCTTCCCATATATGAGGGGAAACCTGGGCAATGTGACTATTTCCTAGATATTTATGTAGTTTCTATTATTGTTTAAATACCACTGACATTCGGTGAAGGAAAACATCGTCAGGAAAGCTGGATTTATGACCTCTTATAGTAAGTGTTTCATGAAATGAAGCCATCCGGATAATTTCTACTTGTATACGCTTAAATTCCACATTAAAACTAACTTCTTAACTTACGTGAACTAGATTAAATTAAGGTTAATGCATTTGTTGCGACCACGTGGTACCATGACGCACCGGTAGATGGTGCTGTATACAACTTTCGAATTAGCCTATACAAGACAACGTAATCTAACTAGCAAAATTAGCTCACGATCTAAAACGGATAGAAAACCCCACCATTCAGCTGTTGGGTAGCAAGCCAGATGCCGCTACTACCTGACCAAGTCGAATTGACCCTCCCTTTTACGATCTTTACTAGAACTTACACCTTCTTCTCCAAACATTCTTAAATTTTATAGACCTTCTTAATTAGGTTGAAATGAATGTCTTATTATTA